GACGGTATCGCATTGAGAAGGATTTGAACTCAATTGATCCCACTGATGGCCACGTCTTTGGCGGGGCTACTAGAACCGCCGAAGCATTGACAGAGTCGCCTTCAGTGTCCAACGAGATGTAATGCTCCAGCCGTTCCACGCACGTCATGATGTTCTCCAATGTTGATGCTTTGAATGTAAATCGGGACAACAACGACGACATCTGCGCCGCGTACGTGAGAGCGAGTCCCGCGGCGGTGATGCCGATGCTCGCTTTGGACGCGACCGCGATGAAGGCGACCCCGCCCACGATTCCAGACGAGAGCCAGTCCAGCCGCATTTGCATCCAACGAGAGGACATGCGATACAGCATGAAGAAGCTCTGGCTGTGGTCGAGTATGGTGCGATTCTGTCGGGCGAATACTTCGGTCATGCCAAAGGCGCGGATGGTGGAGAGGCCGTTAACGGTCTCTGCAATGAGATTCAGCACGGGGGATCGCGCCATACTTTCGAGGCGCTTGAGCTCGGCCGACGTCTTGTTGTAGTACAACTGCACCTTGGCAAAACCAAACACAATCGGAGCGTACACGACCAACATGAACGGTGACGTGGCAGCACACACGACGACGATCGCTGCGATTTGAAACGCAAACTGGAGAAAGAGGACCCCAGTGAACGGCAGCATGCTGTCGACTTGATCTAAATCGCTCGAGAACCGATTGAGGATGCGGCCAACAGGTGTGATGTCGAAGAACGTCGTCACAGGCCCGTGAAGGACTCTGCGAAACAGCTTTTCATGCATGGCCTGGGAACAGCGAAGCGACAGCCTCAACACGAGCAAGCTACGCCCCCACACGAGCCCCATCGACAACACAGCGAGCACGACGTAGATCGACGCAGACGTGAGGTTGCTGTTACTCGTATGACTGGACCAGAATCCCATAAACCAATCGGTCAGCGTCAGTTCCGCCTGCGACAACGTGTACGCTGCGAGAATGGTCGCCAACACCACCCCACCATTCCGTCCACTCGCGTGGAAGTACGCAACATACGTGGCAGTCGCTACGCCACCCACGTTGCGGTCTTCTTTTGAAATCAATGTACCCCCACCATCAATGTCCTCGTCGCTGGAGCTGCCTTTCGTGACTTCCACCTCTGACGCTTGGGGACATGTAGCGTCCCCTTGGTCAAAGCTCACGAGATGCGGAAACCCTTGCTTTATCGAGTCAAACGTTCCATCCCCGACGATCATGCCGTCTTCCATGACGAGAATGCGATCGGCATGGGGCAAGAAGTGGTAGTGGCTGTTGAGTACTAGCACCACCGTCTTGTCCGCCAAC